CAAACTGTCCCAATTCCTTAAGGGCACTGGCTATAACTTGAAGACTGACGTCTACTTCTTGCCTGTGGCCGCTCAGCAATCCATGAACATCAAGGACAGAATTCCCAAAGGTGTCGCTCCTTGGTGGGAAGGACCCTCCTTGCTCGAGTACCTCGACAACATGAAGGCTCTTGAGCGCAAGGTCAACGCACCCTTCATGATGGCCGTTGCCGGAAAGTACCGAGATCTCGGAACCATGATCGAGGGCAAAATCGAGGCCGGTGTTATAAAAAAGGGCATGTCCCTCGTCATGATGCCGAACAAGCAGAGCGTGGATGTTGCCGCTGTATACGGCGAGACTGAAGAAGAAACCCAGGTTGCGCAGTGCGGTGACCAGGTTCGTATTCGCCTCAGGGGCATCGAAGAAGAAGACATTCTCCCCGGATTCGTGCTGTGCTCGCCCAAGCGCTTGGTGCACAACGTTGCCACGTTCGAGGCTCAGATCCGTATCCTCGAGCTCAAGAGTATCCTGACTGCTGGTTTCAACTGCGTACTGCACGTGCACGCCGCCATTGAAGAAGTGACATTCGCAGCGCTGCTTCACAAGCTCCAGAAGGGCACCAACCGAAAGAGCAAGCTGCCGCCGTCTCACGCCAAGAAGGGCGACAGCATCATCGCCCGCATGCAGGTTATCGGTGGTGCTGGATCGGTATGCATTGAGAAGTTCGAGGACTACCCGCAAATGGGTCGTTTCACCCTGAGAGACCAGGTTCGTATGATTGGTTCACATGGATTATTGAACGCCTGATGGCTGACATGTTGGGAAATAGGGACAAACCATTGCCATTGGCAAGATCACGAAGCTGATTACGGATGAAACGGCTTAAATTCTGAACGAATGAAATGAACCCAAAGGTCGACTTCGGTTGAGAGGAGCTGGCTAAATTGAGTTCCCCTCTTGGAATGGCAGGCTCGCGAAGCAAGTGCAGAAAGAGTACAGAAAAGTTCTGGGCCATGGCCAATATGCATAGAGATCGACCTGAGATGGTGTAAAACGAGGACAGAGCGACGTCATGGAGGGCGGTAATGCCATGGCGGCAATACGGACGGGCCGCAACGGGCGGGCTCGGCATGATAGAGACGTAGCATTCTGAGAATAGTAAGGGATGGGTAGGGGAGGTAGAACTAAAAAATCAATCTCAAACCCTTCAAAGCAGGCGCATGACGATGGCTTCACGTTTTGACCTTCTGGGCTCCGAAGCAGGATTTAGAAATCACATTTTCCGAGGTGACAACCCTGAACTGTTTGCGTCCCGAGCAATCCCGATGATAGAGGATTTCTGCGGGCCCGATGATGAAAAGTCAGGGAACGATAAGGATGCCCCTAGCGATGTCGGAGAACCCGAGTTATTCTCGTGTCGGAGTGGGTTTAGAAACACCCAATGGTAGGTAGGGGTGCAATATTCGGGCAGGTATGACGGGCTACGGCAATCGGCGGGCGGGGCGGCGGAGCCGAGGGGTCCCCGGCCTAACGGAGGCGTTCCAGCGTACTACCTATCTAGCCCAGCCGAGCCCAGCCCAGCCTAGTACGGATACTGAGATACAGTTGCCTGTGTTCTTGCGCCGTTCGCTCGGGAAACATCGATCGTGGGGTTAGGTACTTCGTCTGCCGCATGCACACATCTACACTCAGCCCGTTTGGCCAGAACAGTCCACGAAGAATTGCAATCTCATTTCTTTTTCCCCCCGGCAACGTGCTGGGTCAAGTGATGCACAACCCCTCAACTGAGGGCGGTCTGCGCCTGAGAAGCTGACTCCTATTTCTTGAAATTTCGGCGGTCACGAGGGCTCGTAAAGGCAGGCATGTACGTAATAGCAACATTCGTCAAAGCGAAAAAGACCCCAGGTGCAAAGGCGGCGATGGATCAACATTCAGCCAAGTGGCTACGTCTAACACCCCTGCTCTGTACGTACTGTTACTTGCTAAGCTCTCACACTTTTCCTATCTTTGGGGGCCCTAACTGATATTCCAGGACATACTATCGTAGATGGTAGGCGGCGTCAAGGGGGGGGAACCAGCAGTGGAAGTTGGAATTGCATGCCGGAGAATGTCGGAACGAATAGCTGAAGGTGAGCCTCTCTGCATGAAGACGGAGGGTGATTGGCCATGGGGAACGGGGCGCGGGGTAACTTGCACTAGATGCTCGGCTACTTGGGGGGTGCAGGGTGGGATTGCGGCGGGGCCAAGCGGCTCTCGAGCAGCAGCCAAACGTCATCTTTTGCAATGTTTGGGCCTCGTTTTGGGGCTGTTGATGACTGCTGCGATGCTCGTTTCCGTGATGCTCCGATGGAGAATCAGGAATGCGACAACGAAGCTACTGCGTAGGTACGCCAACTTGGACGAGATAAGGGGGGCGTGCGGTTGGGAAAACGGCCTTGTCAGTTGGATGGGATTTTGCTTCTCGCATTGCATTGCCGCCGCCCGCCGGTGGACACGGCCACGAGTGACAAGCAAAGATGTTCCTAAGTATTTTCGTGGACGCCGTTTCAGCCTTTCCTCGACACATCCGCCGAGAGGTGAGAGACGGAGAATGCGACTACCACGCACGTCGAGCCGGAACAGAGGAGGTGGGGGAGAGACAGCCGGACGGCAGCCATGTGCCGGTCACAGAGAGCAGACGAGACACACGCGGAAGGGAGAGGAACACCGGCAGACTGGAACAAAGGACTCTGAGAAAAGGGAACGAGGAGAGGGTTGACGGAGCAAAAACGATGTTTAGACTTTCCGCGTTAGCGGCCCCGGCTTTGAGATGCGGCAAGATTCGAGAGCAGACGGGCGACCCAGCACAGCAGCAAGCAGGGCCCAGTCAGGAGTCATCAACGCTGGGAATGGCAAGGTAGCATAGCTGTAGGGCGAACAGGGCCAGATCAGACCAAAGGACCAAAATGGGAACGCCCACGCCGGTGACCCCATGCCAGCAGGCCTGTGGTGAAGGCTTGGCCTGTTGGTGGACGGGTTCGGGGGTGGGGGAGAGGAGAAGGCGGGAGATGGGAGATGGGAGATGGGAGCCAGGGAGATAGATGCCATGGCTGGGGGAGAATGAGATTGGGCACCTAGGTAGTAGTGCTACGCAGTAGACTGCCCTGGACACAGAGGCTTGCGCAGCGGCAAGGCACGCCTGCCACATTGGACAGCAGCACATGCGCGGAGGTCTGCTGTGGGAGTTGACGTACCCTTACCCAGGAACATCGGCCTCGCATGCGCCAGCTCAGCGCCAGGGACCTTACTCGGGTGCCTGATACAAGTATCCGTAGCACATTTACGAACACCTTACAGACCTTACAGACCTTACAGACCAGACAGACCAGACAGACCAGACAGACCAGACCACCTTGCAAAATCTGGAAACCTTCAGAGAAAAGGTAAGGTGCCTGTGCCAGCTAAAAGATGCTTTTATCCGAGCGAAGCGGTCTGTTTGATACTGACTCGATCATGCACTTTACAAAGGAAAAGCAACGAGGAACCAAAGTCAGGTACGGAAGATGGCATTGTGTGTTTGAACTAATAGTAGAGTTCCCACAAGCAGTTCCGTTCCGTTGGCCACCTCACCCAAAGATGGGTTTGGATAACAATTATCCGGGCGGCGGGTGGGATAATAGATCATCAAGCCAAGGGCCGTCCAATTGTGCTTGAGGTAAGGTAATGTACGGCGTAACGTAGGTAGGTACCTAAGATGAGGAGGTATCTTACGTGGCTGAGGTGGCATGCAAGCGTGCCTCCAGAGCTAAGGTACCTAGTGTTGGTAGTGCCACAGGTACGTGTTCGTTCGGGCTGTCATTCTCAGCCTGAAGAACAGGTCCCGGAGGCCGCCCGAACTCTGGATTTCACTCACAGATGCAAACCTCGAAATCTCGAAAAGCAGCCACGGGTTAGCCAGGATTCGGGAGCCCCAAGCCGACGCAACGGAGACGTACGGGAGCAGACTGCAGACTGTGGAGAAGCTGCCCCACAACTCTCCGTAACCTACCTTAGGTACCTAGGTACACACTGCACACCCGCGTTCACAGTGTTGCCCCTCCCACAGTGCCCCGCCCCTCCAAGTTCCAGTGACGCCTTCCAGGCCAGGCTCATATCGGGCTCCATCCTTGGTCCTTGGTTCGCCAGCGGCCACGGGCAGCGTATTGGATATCAATTACTCTTCCCTTGCAAATACATACATGGTTTGGCTCTTTCTCCCTCTGACCGCAAACTCGTCCAACCAGCGAACCAACCAAGCTACCTACCCTAGGTAAGGTAAGTACCTACGTAGTCAACTGCCAACTAATCAACTGCTTCCAATTATCTACCGCAGTATGTCCAGGCCCTCCTTGAATGCCCACTCCACCCAAGGCAACTACCTAGCGTCCCGTCTTTCAGCTACGAGATGCTCCGGCCCCCCGCGATAACATGGCCCGAACAAAACACAACTGACAGGGTCGGGCCTCGTTATCTTGGGACGATGAGGCAATCCAAAATGCTCTGCACCTCACCATCTACCATTTCTGGCCCGTCCTGCACCGCCGACCCCAACTTCCAACTCATGTCCAGCTAAATACACACCCTTCCCGCACCCCTCCTTAACACCCCCTCCCCACGAAGTACACCCCCGTTCTCTCCCTATTCCTCCTCTATCCCGAACCCGCACAAGGGTCTTCTCCCGTTCATCGAACCCGAGATAATATCGTGAAGCGCGCAACAACGGCAAACCAACCACTGGCGTTGCTGCCCTCGCCCCCGCGACTCCACAAGCCGCGCCCGTTCTTATAAGTGGAGGACCCCGTTCTGGCCCTTCTATCCTCGGTTCCGGTCTGAGCAAGCCACGAAGCAGCCTTGTCTACACCACTCTACCTACACGCTCACACTCCTCCAAGTGGATACGATTCCTTTTTGGATCCCTGAAAGCGGAAGAGAACACAAGCCTCCAAGCCTTTCCAAGCCTTCAACACCCGACTTCTTTCATCCCTCAGAATCTTTTATAACCATGAAGGATCCCGTCCAACGCAGTGCTTCTCCCTACACTGATCCAGCAGTAAAGGGCCCAAAGTCACAGATTCTCGCAGAAGGATACCAGGCAGATTTACGCAAAAGTTCGTCTCCTCTTACTCGCCTCCTCGTCTTGTCACCTCCCCCAATCCTCCACCCGACTTCTTCCACTTAGACGCAAACCTTGTTTGCGTCTGGGACCTGAGCACCTTGATTATATCCCATCGCCGCCTCCCGTTCATAAGTCACTTCTACCAAATCATCACCAACTAACATGTCGAACCTCACAGTGATTGTCAGCAACGTCAACAAGACTCCTCTCCACCCCGGTGGTGTTGCGTATGTTTGTCCATAATACCCGCACAACCAAGAGATGTACCCAACTAACGTCCGTTTACAGTCCTCACCACGAGCACACTGAGCTCGGTATGAAATACCCTCTCGAGCCGACCCTCCTCAATGGCATATTTGCACGGCAATGAGCCTGGCTGACATGTTGGAACAGAGGAGGAGCTCCACGAGACTGCCCACATCGACTATGACCGCGTCGCTATTGTATGATGATCGCTACAGACATGTCGGATAAGGCACTGACGCAATTCTCAGATTCCCAACCCCTCCGTTCCCGCTCTGTACGAAGATGCGCTGGTGAGTACACGCTCCAAGCAACCGGATGGTTGCGCATTCCAGCTAACAAAGAATCGTAGGTGTACGAGACTGGTTCCGCCATCACCTCAAGTGGAGCTCTCACTGCCTACTCTGGAAAGAAGACTGGTCGTTCCCCTCTCGACAAGCGCATTGTCGAGGAGGACAGCTCCAAGAACGACATTTGGTAAGACTGCTCCCGAACGTTCTTCGGAATGACACCTTCGGTGCCCGGCAGTTTGGCTGGTGCTGACCATTCCGTGCGTAACCATTTGCTAACAATGCAATTTTCAGGTGGGGTCCTGTGAACAAGCCCATGTCACCCGAGGTAAGAGAAACCCCAAATCGAGTCAGGATGCAGACGCAAGCTCCCAAGCAGCTGCTGCGGTTCCCGTCGGCTTCCTTTGTCCTGCCCTCAGCCCAGCCAAACCCGGCTCGACCAGCCTAGCCCTGGCTCGTTGCCCGCTGCATTCCTCAGACACACGCATGCCCGCACACAGGTGCGGAACACACGACTGGCCACACGACTATCTGTTGGCCAGCAAGACCCAGCAAAAATCATCATGTCATCTCTCTGCAGCTTGGTTCAAATCCGAGTCAGCATGGCAGATTTCCCGCAAAGTCTTTGTGGTCAACAGATACGTCATGTTTCAGATCGACGCTGCATCTAGCAGCCGTGTTTCCACTTCCTTTGGCCCATTTTGCGCAAAGATGATGCGCATTGTTTGGCACGCGCGTTGGAGGGTGTCATCGAGATGCTTTCGTCCGATGTGCGCGCGTCGGCAGCAAGCTGAGCTGGCTGGCTAGGCGGCCTTTGCTCGAATTGGGCGTGCCGTTTTTGCGACGACACGGTCTCGTGTGCTGTGTGTGCTGTGTCGTCATAGGCTGCCGGCGCTGCCCCTCCTGTCTACCCCCTTTCGCTTTCCCCTTCGACCCAGGAAGTGCAGGTGCAGAATGCCGGCCCCGCATTTTGTATGCAGGCCGAGCTAAACTCTACCGCCCCCTGTACTCCTCCCCCGCAATGTTGCAGATCCACACTCCTACTTTTCCCGGCCCTGCCCACGTACGCACCGAGTCGACCAGTCACCGAACGAGCGCTGACATGTGAGAATTCTAGGTCTGGAAGATCAACCGTGAGCGTGCCATCGACTACCTCAACACGAGGAATCGCATCTACGTCGTCGACGGTTATGCCGGCTGGGACGAGAAGTACCGCATCCGTGTCCGCGTTATCTGCGCCCGCGCCTACCATGCTCTGTTCATGAGGAACATGCTCATTCGCCCTCCCCGTGAGGAGCTGGAGCACTTCCACCCCGACTACACCATCTACAATGCCGGCTCTTTCCCTGCCAACCGATACACCGAGGGTATGACCTCCGGCACCTCGGTTGCCATCAACTTTGCCGAGAAGGAGATGGTCATTCTTGGCACCGAGTATGCCGGCGAGATGAAGAAGGGTGTCTTCACCGTCCTCTTCTACGAGATGCCCATCAAGCACAACGTCCTCACCCTTCACTCTTCTGCCAACGAGGGCAAGAACGGCGATGTTACCCTCTTCTTCGGTCTGTCGGGAACCGGCAAGACCACCCTGTCCGCCGACCCCCAGCGTGCTCTCATCGGCGACGACGAGCACTGCTGGTCCGACCGTGGTGTCTTCAACATTGAAGGCGGATGCTACGCCAAGACTATCGGCCTGTCTGCCGAGAAGGAGCCTGATATTTTCGGCGCTATCCGCTTCGGCTCCGTCCTCGAGAACGTTGTTTTCGATCCTGAGACTCGTGTCGTCGACTACGATGATTGCACCCTCACCGAGAACACTCGTTGCGCCTACCCCATTGAGTACATCAACAACGCCAAGATTCCCTGCAAGTCAGACTCCCATCCCTCCAACATCGTCCTCCTCACTTGTGACGCCCGTGGTGTCTTGCCCCCCATCTCCAAGCTGGATAGCGCTCAGACTATGTTCCACTTCATCTCTGGCTATACTTCCAAGATGGCTGGTACCGAGGATGGTGTGACCGAGCCCCAGGCCACCTTCTCCTCCTGCTTCGCCCAGCCCTTCTTGGCTCTGCACCCCATGCGCTACGCCAAGATGCTTGCGGACAAGATCGAGCATCACAACGCGAATGCGTGGCTCCTCAACACCGGTTGGGTTGGTGCTGGTGCTGCCCAGGGTGGGAAGCGCTGCCCTCTCAAGTACACTCGCGCCATTCTCGACGCCATCCACTCTGGCGAGCTTGCCAAGGTTGAGTACGAGACCTACGACACCTTCAACCTGCAGGTACCCAAGACTTGCCCTGGTGTTCCTTCAGAACTGCTCAACCCCAAGGCCGCCTGGACCGCGGGTGGAGACAGCTTCAACACGGAGGTCAAGAAGCTTGGTGTCCTCTTCAACGAGAACTTCAAGAAGTACGCGAGCGAGGCGACAGAAGATGTCGTCAAGGCTGGCCCCGTTGTTTAAGGACAGAGCATACTGATATTAGCGTTGCTTATTTCACGGGTTGCATGTGACGGGCTATGACAATGTTTTCCTTTTAATCACCATGGGTTTCGGGAAATTGGGATGTCGAAGACACGCTCTCGACACGTCACGATGCCGCTGGTGGGATCGTGGCCTTCAGGTTTTATTTACTGTTGAAAACAGGAGTCATGTGGTCTGGGCTTCATTTGATAGAATGAAAGAAAACAAATTTGAAGCAACCGAGTTGAACCGTACCAAAAAGTGATGCGTATGGTACAACGCCTTTAGAAACTTGATCATCTATTCATGGCTGGGCAATAAAAACGCAAGTCTTTACTATGATTTGGACACCATCGCGTACTAGGTATTTGATGTGCAGACCGTAGCGATGAGGAACTAACTGGTTGAAGTTGGTTGCGCGTGTTTTCCTCGCACATTGATTCGTCAAATGGCTACCGCTTTTGGCTACAAGTCATTATCACATGTCCTCAATCATACCCCACGTGCTCGCAGGCAACGTTTTCCCAGGTTCCACGTCTCTCCAACCGGTGCACTTCCTCACCATTCTCGGGATGATATCTTCTCCGCGACGATCCAGTTTACATAGCCAAGACCACGAATGTGTGCGTCTTTGCCACTTCTTACTTCCCAGCCTTCCATCCTGGCTCCGCACGACCTCATCAGCGCCTCAACCTCGTCGGGCGTTCTTGTCCTTAGCGCTGAGATGTAGCCGTCGAAAACTAGGACGAACGGCAGGATAGGGACAAGGTATGTGAATATAATCGCATTGAGCGAACCCAACTTCCACGCATGAAGAGGAGCCAGGAGAAACACGCCAATGCCAAGGATGGCGGGTAGAATGATGGAATAGAGGTCGCGACCTTGAAGCTCGAAAATGGCGAAACCGTCCGAGGTCTCGAGCGTGTTCTTCAAGATCGCCTTGGCCAATGGGTCATCGAAATGATGGAAGGCCAGGTTGAACAAGCGGAATATCTTCTTCTCCTTGCCGCGGTACCCAGCGAGCAGATCACGGGGTGCGTTTGCGGCGTCGACGCTCTTGGGTTCGTAGCCAATGTGCTCGCTCTTGGCAGCGGCGCGCGCCCAGCTGTCAGGATTCGGCCACAGGTCGGTCAGGACAAAGTCGACGTTGGGTTGCTTCTGGGCGGTGAGATGGCGGTTCACGGCCCGCTCGATGGCCGGGGTCGGGCCTCCCGAGCCGGCGCAAAAGTCGATGAAGGTGTAGGAGGAGAGTCGTGGACCAAGGGTCCGCTGGAGGATTTGGGCGGCAATGTGCGCGGGCGAGGCCGTTTGGAGGACGGGGAACTTGTTAACCCAGGTCGCGTGGAGGCCTTCTTGGACAAGAGCGCGAAGGAAGGACGGGAACCTGAAAGTGCATGAGTTATCAGCTTTTGATGGCGGAGAACGCAGGCGCACTGGTCTTCTTATACACACCATGGCTGGTCGTCAATCTCGAACAAGTGGAAGCGAGGGACGAGAGGCGCCATCGTGATGACGTCGATATTTGGCTGGTTGGTGTTGCGGTACAGTTGGCAGGAAAGCTGCAGAATGCTAAGCAGCAGGTGACAGAGGATATATCGTCAAACCCTTGTAGGTGAGAGTTTCGGCATCAATGCGGCATGTGACGCGTCCGAGGCTGGACTTCAATGCACTGAGAAGCCAAAAAGCGCCCGCGATCGCAAGCAACGCAGCAGATTGGACGACGTCTTGTTGAGGGTAAATCAAACAAGTGTTGGGTTCCTTGCACAGTTCGTGCCGAAGCTCCAGCAGGGACGGAAGCTATCGCACTCGCTAGGGGCACTTAGCTGCCAATTGAGACAGGGACAGCTCCAGGACAGGGGTCCAGAGCCCCCGGTTCAGGGCATCAAACTCCAAATGTTCCCTTGTAGCACCCCGCCGCCAGGTCATGTCGGATCCAATCTCCATTCCATCGTCGCATGTGAAGCATAATACCTACTAGGTAGGCACCTTACCTAGGTAGGTGCCAGTGACAACTCAGCCTCCCCGGCGCATTTATTAGGCACCTAAGGTAAGGCGAGATGGTACACGCATGCAAATGCAGGTCTTGAAAGGGCCACCTCAGGGGGGCTGAGAAGCTACCTCGTCCCCACTGAAGCTGTGGTCCGGACCTGCGGGAACCTGGAAGTCACTTCCAATCGCTTAGCTCTTACTGGACAATTCCGACACTTGAGACTCCAACCCCCGCGACCTCCGTGATCTTGCTGCCGCGTTCACTGTGTGTTCAAGGCTTAGACCACTCGACCGTGCCTCTTAGACCAGTCCCCTTTTGCCAGACGAAGACGAGCCTCGGCGGGCATTTGTGAGTGCGAACGATACTCGATTCAACGTCATCCGATCTCTGGGATCTCTGGACTTAGACTGACATCGATTGGCAATCTTCGCTGCCGATAAAGAGTATCACAGCATGGGCTACCTCAACATCTCAGTGGTACTCGTGGCCGGAGTAGTCGCCCTCTTTTTGTATGTCGTGTTTGGACAGCCCAAGCTGAGACGGAATGGCGTCCCGTTGAGGTAAGCTATGAGCCAAATTTCAAATGACACGCGATTCCCGGGTAGGAAGGACGTGGAGCATCTGGACATACAACGCCATGCTGACTGGTGTTGAGACGCCCGCCTGACACGTTGCCACTGGCTGGGAATGGTATCAACTTTCTGAGAGACCGCCAGAAGCTGTTTGACTGGTTCACCAAGTGTGAACAGCTTCATGGCTACGAAACATTGCAGATCTCGGTTCCGAGCTTGCCACCTGGGGTCATTATCAGTGACCCTAAGAACCTCGAATACGTGTTCAAGCATGAAGGCATCTTTGCTAAAGGCGAGTTTTTCAAGGGACGGTCGCGGGATCTTTTTGGTGAGTGCTGAGATGTGGCTCTGGCAAAAATCTTGGTGAGCTCATTCATCTCAGGAAACGGCATCATCAATGTAGACGGTGATTTGTGGAAGGTCCAGCGGAAAGCTGGGCTGAACTTCCTCAATACATCCAACCTGAGGGTTCTCACAGACATCGCCTTGCCGCAGTATCTGTCCCAAAGCGTAGCTTTATTACAAGATAGGGCTTTGAGTGGTGTCTCGGTCGATTTACAATGCGTATTTCACGAAATCACAACTCAGCTCATGGGAAAGATGGCTTATAACGTATGTTCATCTCATGAACTGGCACCGACCAATCCGCGATGGAGTCTAACGGTAGCTAATGAGCGTTCAGATGGAAATGCACGCTGAAGACGAGTTTGGCTTGGCCTTCGACTACGCATCTGGCGCAACAGCCGAGAGATTTCAGAATCCTCTCTGGTTTATCACGGAAATTATCACTGGAAGGCGATTTCGAGAATCAATCTCCATCGTCAAGTCATTTGGTCAAAGGATCGTATCAAGTGCGACGGGTGACAGGAAAAAGCGTGCTGGAAAGCCGGTCGATACGGTCCCAGCGGAAGAGGCTGTTGACAGACTGAACGATATCTCAGGCAGCCTGATCCAGTCCTTTTTGGACGCCATTGGTGATGAGCAGTTAGTTGCGGACGCCGCGCTGAACTACCTTTCTGCAGGCAGAGACACCACAGCGCAAGCCCTCACATGGACCTTTTACCTCTTGATGAAACACCCCAACGTTGTGGTCAAGATCAGAGACGAAGTCGACAGCCTCACAGCAGGCAGCGAGAAAAGCTTTGAGAAGACCATTTCCGAACGATGTAATCCGACATCAACGCCATACACATTCGCAGTTTTCTGTGAAGCTCTGCGCATCTTCCCGCCCATTCCTTTCGAGATCAAGCAGGCCGTTCAAGCCACGACACTTCCAGACGGAACATTTTTACCGGAAAACTCCGTCATCGTTTGGTGCACTTGGGCAATGAACCGTTCTCGGGTTACCTGGGGCCCAGATGCAGACCATTTCCGCCCTGAGCGCTGGTTGATTGATGGCAAGGTCCTCAACAAGACTACATCCGAGTTCCCGGTGTTCAATGGCGGACCTAGGACTTGCTTAGGCAAGAAAATGGCTGAGGTTATAGCTGTCCAAGTCATTGCCACTGTGGCCGGGCTTTTCGAATGCGCCAGGGTTGATGACTCTGAAAGAGTAAGCAAGAGTAGCCTCACACTGCCCATGAAGGACGGCCTGCCTTGCGTGGTGCAAAGCAGGCACGACGTGTGCAGCGAATGACGAAGTTTGCAGCACCCTCGCGATGTGGTCCCCTCGCTGAGTACTCGGCATGTCATATCAAGCGATACCCTGAGCCTTACATTGGCACAATGAACATTTAAGCTAGGGCACATACTCTGTCAGTCATTTGACCACCCAAATTGAGGGGGCGGGAATAGGTTTCCAACGTGACAAACAGACGCAAACATTGTAGAGCACATAGAGACAGAGGAGAAAAGATAATCTCGCACACACAAAAAGAAATCAGAAGAAAAAAAAGACAGGGAAATTAGCACAACCTGGTTTCGATCCAGGGACCTCTGGGTTATGAGCCCAGCGCTCTACCCCTGAGCTATTGTGCTTACTGAGGGGGTATATTGGATTGCCCAAAGTGCCAAACCCATTGAGAATGTGTCACATTTTGTGGATCACCTTGGGTCACACATTGGTCAGTGAACGTCAAGCCTGTGCCTACGTGATTTTCTTTTTTTTTTTATGCATTCTTGAAGCTCACCTTCGGCCTGAAACACGATTTTCATTAACGCCAATCCAATCATCCATCGTCCACGGTACTCCCGCAGATGACTGCATGATCAGATTTCTTTATCGGAACCACCAGTTCACAGATGCATTGAGCCGCCCGTCGTGATGCCCACTCTTGACGCTATGCCACCAACCCTTAGGAATGAATAAGGCGTCGCCTGGATCCAGTTTCGCTTCGATAAGGTCTTCGGGGCCTTCCATACCCCAAACGGCCGTGTTCAAAACCACCCTCTCTCGACCCTCCATCATCTCAGACATTCGAATTCGACTATTGCCGGAATGCTGGATCTGCGTCTGCACTCGTCGGTACAACCGATCTCCAGAGAAAGGCGGCAATAGTCTGATGGTTTTTTTGCCAATCAACTGGCAAAAGAGATTGGGGTTCGGGTCGCGATGCAGCGGTGTATAAGTTGGTTCTAAGCCGAGCCATATGCTTGAGCTATAGACATCACCCTTCCCAGCTTCTGTGACTATGCGAGGCACTGGAAGATCTTCCTGCAGTTCTATTGGTAGGTCTGGTAGCTGGGCCTGAGCGACGTAAAGTTGTTTAAGCTTCTTCTCGTGCAGCTTATTGAACTCGACTGCTTTGAGCAACAGCAACAATGGAGCGCTGAACGAGGAGAACTTTGGCTCTGAGGCGTCTGGGTAAGCGGCGGCGTGCACGATGCCGGCTAGCACGGCACCCAAGGGGTCTGAATCTGACGCAAGCCAAGTTAGGAATTGGCTTGTGGTGTCGACAACCAAGCCTGTGTCTTCGCACAGCTGTGGGCTCATGAATTCGTATGGAAGCATATGATGAGCGAATCGGTCCATGTACGGCGCAAAGCCCATGGGACGTTCTCCGTGAGATAACGGCGATAGGCTGGCTTCATCTTGCATGAACCACTTCGTCGACGCTGGGAAGGATGGTCGTTTTGGAATCGTATTTGGTTGCTTGAACGCCAGAGGCTTTCCCGCCTCAAAAGCTAAGCTTCTGAACTCAGGAACACCGACAGAGGCAAATGGCTCTTCGATAGCGTTGAGGGTCTTGATAGTCGAGAAACATCGATGGGAGTGGAATGCTGGTTTCTCCCGGCCGAATCGCAAGCCGCATCTTATCGACCGAGGTTGCATGGTCTCTGCCTCGGCTGCCGAGTTCCCCTCTCAAAGACTCAAATAATGCGCAGAGGGAAAGAGAGACGGGGAGAAGGTGGCTGCAACGACGGGGAAGAGCAAATTGACATCACGTGGTTCGAGGGAAGGGACATTGTGATCTCGGTGAGGCCATCGGTCACCTTCGGTAAGATGCAGCGGAACAAATGTCAGGCCGCTTACCGAGCGTATCTGGTGCACAGACCATATCGTTGATTGGCCGCAATCTCCTTCTCTAAGCGGGCTGGGCGTCGTCGTGAGGCACCACTGTCCACAGCCCACCAAGTTCAGCAAAAGCTGGGAGGCTCCCCAAAATACAACCTCGTTCTCCCTCAGCAAAAAGAGGCTCAAAAAAAGTATATCTCGACTCCGACCTTGGCTGCGCCCGGAACGTCCGATCTCTTACGAAACCAACGTCGATCTTCGATTTCATCACTGCCGCCGACCTTGCTGTGCTTTGCGCTCGACATGCGCCGCGTCTGACCTTTTGACGCCCACCTACCCCGCCATCTTCGCGCCGCTCCTGCTGGCTGCTGGGTTATCACACATACTCGACTCGTACGGCTAGAAGCGATTTCAATCCCATCCGTCGGATAACGCGTGTTCGCTCACGCGACAACTGCCTTGCTCTACCCGACACCCCCTCAATACCTTCACCTTGGATTACCTCGACGACATGTCCACCTCTTCGGGGGCCCCGGAGTCTTGGATATCTTCTTTCTGTTCCCTACTCGGCCATGAGTACTTTGCTGAGGTCTCGGAGGAGTTCATTGAAGATGACTTCAACCTCACGGGTTTGCAGAATCAAGTTGCGATGTACAAGGAGGCACTCGAGGTACGCATGACCATCCATCAGCTTCTCCTGGATTTCCCAATTTGCCACCCCCGCAGCACCCCAAGCATCTTCTTACGCTAATTCTTCTTTTGCGCAGATGATTCTGGACGTGGAACCCGAGGAGGATGATGAGGAGGAAGAAGAAGACGAGGAGGACGAGGAAGAAAACGACTCGGGAGACCAAGACCGCCTCGGGCCTAGGCATGACCGAAGACAGCACAGCCGGATGGCTAGCGACCTTAGCGTGATCGAGTCCTCCTCCGAGATGCTCTATGGCCTGATTCACCAGCGCTTTATCTGCTCGAGAGCAGGCATACAGCAAATGAGCGAGAAGTACGAGTTGGGACACTTCGGCTGCTGCCCACGCACAAACTGCGACCAAGCTAGGACGCTTCCTGTTGGCCTCTCCGACATTCCAGGCGAAGACACCGTCAAGTTGTTCTGTCCTTCCTGCCTCGATGTTTACGTTCCCCCAAACAGCAGGTTTCAGACCGTGGACGGTGCCTTTTTCGGCCGCACTTTTGGTGCTCTGTTTCTTCTCACATTCCCTGAGTATGACTTAACTAAGCGTGGAGCCGAAGTACTCAGCAGCGGCGGTGCGCGCATCAACGACGACTCGCTCGAGGCGGTCAACGGAATGTATTCCAAGAACATTGCCCCCGGCTTGGGAGCGGGCCGGATATATGAGCCTCGCATTTACGGATTCCGCGTCTCAGAGATTGCCAAATCTGGCCCTCGGATGCAATGGCTCAGGGACCGACCGGATGACATGACGGAGTTGGACGAGGCGCGGCTGTATGCTGACGAGCATCCCGATTCGGACGAGGAGGACGAAAACATGAATGGCAATGGAAGAACTGCCCCCAGACGCCGTGCCCTGCGTGGAACTGCTCGTCTTCGCCAGCAGCGGCAAGCACAGAACGGGAGCCCGATGAACGTTGAGACGAATGGGGCTGAATCTGAGCTCTGAAAGATGAGACGTTTTCGGATGATGCCAGTCTCGCGGTAGCTACACGGCTTGTGTGACCTAGGACGAATGACGTCCGAGAAAGAGGACGCTGAACGAAGAAGAGAGGTACCACAATGGAGGAGAACTGCAGAGATGGAGGTGCTGCGTTTCAAGTGGATGCCCTGCATCAGGTAGAAGGCGTTTTGGAGGCAGTCCCCCGCCTAACCTCTAAAAAAGGGGCGCGGCGTTTGCTGAGGAAGGTGCATAACGGAAGTAAAGACTCTCACGCCGTCAACGAGTTCGGATTTCGATTCTCTTCGCAGGCAACAGTGCCTGCTGTATAGGCTTAATGCGACGGCCGCTGCATTTCTGGGCCTTTGGAGACAGAACATAGACTGCATGTAATTCGTCGGTCGATTCAAAGACTACTACTAACTTGCTTTTGCCCCTCCGCTTCATGGCCCGCATTGCGTTGTTTCGACCGTGGTGATTAATTACCATCATCACCAACCCGCTGATCTTCCCTCTGGATGACTCTTGCGGTTCCCAGCAGAGAGGCGAGAACCAGCTGATCACGCCTCTCTAGAGCTGGCGAGGGAACATCTGAGTTCCGCAGGTGATAGGAATGCCACGTGAAAGAATGCAATGAGGTCCATCGCTCCATCAAGCCAGGAGATATCCAAATTCCGCACTATTTCAGGTCAGCTTGCTTCTAGCGTGACAATCAACCAGCATACGCAACCAAGAAACCCCGCCATTGACCGGGATTAATACTCAGTCCCCGCGTATCCATCATGGCGGGGAACAGGTCAGCCTACAAATATGAGCTGTGACAGTACAGGCAGGGACCAATCGAATGGAGCTTCCAAGCCTGCACCCCAATCCCGTTGGTCTGAGTGATCTCATCCAAGTATCAATGACGGAGGGATCAGCTGAGGTAGGGAGCGACCGTGATCGAAGGACACTGCTCTTGCGGTCTTCTGTCTGGTATTCCACGATGACCGCAGCGAAGGCTGCCATACTTTGTTTCCTCAGCGTGTGGGTAATGATTTGATCTCTAAATTGTCCGATTTCCACGAGTTTTCGCCCCAGTATGTAGCGTGTGAGTACGGTATCTACTCTGTTTGAGCTTCAGCGTTCATAGTATACTGAAGTCGTTACCCAAGCCCCCAGCCGGCAACAGGAGCAGCCTCCTCCACGGCTTCACGGTCATCCTCGATCCTACTAATTTCAAGAGAAGGGGCAAAATGACAACGCAAAAAGTCCCAGTTGAGTAAAGATTTCCAGCGAAAAATTCCCGCAAGCTCAAATCCTGCAGTGACTGTTTGTTTATTCGGTGATGTCACCCGGAACGAACGACTGCGGGGTGATGCATCTGCACCGGATAAAAGCACTTAGCGTTCCTCTCATGCACCACAGATTGACAGACCATCGACCAGGCTGGTATAAGTTTGAATCGTATCTTCGTTACTTCGGGGTTGAAGAAGCTGTGTTTCATGCTATAGGGGCGGTTGTATGTGCAACATGAGTTCTCTATCAACATGTATTCGGTGGCTAGTTGCGACGTGGTGTATCTTTCTTACTCTAAGCGGGACGGCCTTGACTTCTAATTCAACCTTCTATAACCCTGCAATTCCTGGATTTCATCCGGATCCAAGTTGTGCATTTGTCCCGGAATGGGATAACACCTTCTTCTGCGCCTCCTCGAGCTTCAATGCGTTTCCGGGCATTCCCCTCCATGCTAGCAAAGACTTGCAGAACTGGAAGCTAATAGGTATATCCCAAGCAGCTCATCTCAATAATCCGTGCTTATGTGACGCAGGTCATGCTCTTAATCGAGAGCATCAGCTTCCACGTCTGGCCGAGACCAATCGTTCGACCAGGTCAGTCGTTCGCCATCAACGTACATGACTACTGTTGTTAATTAAGTCAGTGGCATCTGGGCACCAACATTGCGTTTTCACGACGAGACCTTCTGGCTAGTGACGACCCTCGTCGATGACGACAGACCAGCAGATGACGCTTCCAGGTGGGATAATGTCCGTCCACCCCCCCCCCCCCCCCCCCCCCCCCCCCCCCNTCCCCCCCCCCCCCCCCCCCCCCCTGCCGTTGGTCCCGGAGGCTTTTATGCTCACTTTATCGCAGATAATTTTCAAGAGCAACAACCCGTATGAAGCTTCTTCGTGGTCGAATGCAACACATTTTGAGTTCGTGGGCTACGACACGGAGCCGTTCTGGGACAAGGACGGGAAGACATACATCAACGGGGCACATGCCTGGAAGGTTGGGTAGGTCTCACGCGTGAGCCAAAAGATTGAATTACATGCAGTGTGACTAACAGTAGCAAGTCCTTGGCTGCAGCAAGCTGAAGCAAACCTCGATACTGGCGAAGTTGGAGAATGGAGAACAATTTGGAATGGCACGGGTGGCATGGTGACTTTACACAAACTCATGGGCATCGAGGCACTTGACAGTTAACCCTGTTGTAGGCGCCTGAAGGACCACACATATACTTGAAAGATGGTCTCTACTACCTGTTAGCTGCAGAAGGTAATTGCTCAACATTCATGCGCATTAATCGGCGCTGACATGGACCAGGCGGTACTGGTGTCGGCCATATGGTCACGATAGCTCGTTCGGAGAATGTTGGAGGTCCATATGAGTCGAATTCGGCCAACCCAATTCTCACCAATGCAAACACAACCTCCTACTGTAAGTTTTCACGAGCTGTACTATGTTTTCTCTCTAGCACCCTGAATGGTGTACCAACACTCATCAGTCCAGACTGTCGGACATGCCGACCTCTTCCAGGATGATTCAGGGAACTGGTAAGTCGTTTGAGTATTGTGGATGCCTATGTTAACACGAATAAGGTGGGGTGTCGCGCTATCGACAAGATCTGGCCCTGAGTGGGTTTACTTTCCCATGGGCCGTGAAACAGTCCTGACCGCCGTGACCTGGCGAGAGGGAGAATGGCCGCAAATGTCGCCCATTCAGGGCAAGATGAGTGGTTGGCCAATGCCACCAGCGAGTCTAGATGTTGATGACCCTGGGTAAGGAGACATTTTGCTCTTGTCTCTGGCATTTGGCTGACGAGTTCAGCCACTGGGTCATGTCGGGCGAAGTTGCAGCTGATAATGTTGAGTTCGAGGCTGGTTCAGCACTGCCAGCTCATTTCACACACTGGCGCTATCCCGTCGAAAGCTCATATACAGTATCACCACCTGAGCGTTCCAACAGCCTACGTCTCATGCCGTCAAAGCTCAACTTGACAGCCCACAATGGCAATTACGCCGGTCCTAGCGGGCAAACGTTCGTGGGAAGGCGACAGCAGGATACACTCTTCGCTTATGGCGTGACAATAGACTTTTCGCCCACGCTAGAAGAGGAAGAGACCGGCATCTCTGTCTTTCTAACGCAAAATCATCATCTCGACTTGGGTTTGGTTTTACTGCCAGCAAACGGAACTATGCGGGCGCTTCCGGGTTATAACTTGACTGCGGGGAATGATTCCGAAAAACTGGATTTGCATCTAAGATTTCGGGGCGAGTCATATGTTCCCGTCCCAGACGAAATCACAGCCCCAGTGCCGGAAGAATGGATAGCCTCGCCGATCAGGCTAGAGGTGAAGGCCGCGAACCTGACGCACTATTCTTTTTCGGCCGGCCCAGCCAATGCAGCTTCTCGAATGAAGACACTCGTATATGCGTCGAATAATGCTGTCAGCTGGGGCTTTACAGGTACTTGACCTAGATCTGTGATCAAAATCCCTGCTAATGTGATGTAGGCGTCTTTGTCGGCGTATATTGCACAAGCAATGGAGGGTTTGGCTCAACACCAGCATATATATCAGACTGGACTTACATTCCTCAAGGCCAATTCAGAGACTAGAAGGCTCGGCTCGGGTGCTATCTTCAACGGCAACCATCAACTGCAAAGACCATACCTGGCCTATCTGTTGGAATAGTGGTAGCCGTTCCTGGGTCCACCATCTTGTAGGGATGGAGAGACGAGTATTCCGTACTGGCTGCAACTGCTGTCGCTTGTTGATGGAAATAGAAAACGGACACTATGCCTGATCGGACGAAATCACATATTCTCCGCCATCCCTGTCGTCACTATCCCCTTGTCTTTGCGATTGTATTTGCTCTTTGTGTATGGAACCCCGCCCGGATGCTAACATAAGGTGTTTACAGACTCCGGGAGGCAACATGTTTAATGTTGATAAGATGGGGCTGAATGCGACGCCCTGTCACTTGAACATGCCAGTGGCCAATAGCATCCTACGCCCCGTAAGCTTCGGTACCTGAATGAGGATTTGCATATCAGCAAGGTTAGAGGCGATGTGCTCTTCCCATCACGCTTGGACTACGTGAGTAAGCACATGTTGCACGTGCAGATCTGGACCGGCATGTCGTAGCTCATAACTTCCAGCAAGCTGCATATGGTGAGATTGCTAATGCATGTCTTGCGGGATAGAAGTGTTGACGCAAAGAGGGGAAGTGCGGCTTATCGGCAGCGGTCGCCGGTTTCGCACCGAGCATCGCCAGTGAAACAAGCCATGTCAGATGGGCATCAGCAAGATAAAGTCGGCCCAGCGCCCTCGTTTTAAAACACACGACTGCGATCTCCAACGAGCCAGAGTCCTCAAATGACAAAGGAATTCTTTGAAAGTGCGGACGTGCCCGCAGAGCAAACATGGATGTACGAGAAAGAGCTGCCTGAGGGGTACGAAGCCTCCCGCGCTCTTCTCCGAGACTATAGTGGCATTCCTGCAGAGGAGATGGACAACCACATACGAAAGATCGTAGGTCGATGGCGCGACCATAGGATGAGACCGAAGGCTGACGAATAAAGCGCGACTCGCTGTGGAAGGTTTTCCACTACCCGTGCATCGGGCGCTGGCGGTTTCTCCTGTTGGCCGACCCACAGGATGCGTTGTATCAAAAAGTCCTAGGTCGACTAACTCAAGCGGACCCGGGAGACACGCTGTTGGACCTGGGCACTTGCGTCGGACAAGCTCTCCGGCAACTCGCACACGACGGTGTTGACAGCTCCCGGCTTTACGGAGCGGATGTGCAACGCGAGTTTCTGGACATCGGCTACGATCTATTCCGGGACAAGGGCCGGTTCCGGGGTACGCTTGTGGCGGGCGACATCTTGGACCCGGCCGACACGGGTCTTTCTGTGCTTGACGGACAAATCAGCATCATCTGGGCCAATGCCTTCTTCCACTTGTTCGACTGGAAGCAGCAGGTGATGGCAGCGGAACGCATCATCAAGTTCCTCAAGCCGGGACTTCAAGACGGGCTTGTCTTCGGACGGCATCTGGGGACTACGGAGCCGAAGGAAAGCGACAACAGGGGGCGCCGGATGTATCTGCACGATCAAGCCAGCTTCCAGCGCTTATGGGACGAAGTGGGGGCGAAGACGGGGACAAAGTGGAAAGTGTGGTGGGAGCATGTGGCCGTGGTGGACTCGCTCCCCGGGTTCGGAGACACGGCCAGGATGAGTCGGTACGCCGTCTACCAAGTGAGGAGGGACTGACGCTTTTCTACGCGCGCGGCTGCTTAGAAATTAGTGTGCTTACCAAAGATGCATGGCGTCAGTGCACACTGGACACGTACAGAATGACCAGTGAGGCACGGTTGGCTGGCCCAAAACCTCAGTAGTAATTACCAAATGGCACAGATAATAAAGCAGCTTGCCTTCTCTTGCACCCCACGCGTACCTACTTAGTATATGAGACAGTCGGCAACCCCTCATGGATGATGAGCAGTCTTGCCAATAAGACATTCTTGTCGTGGAAACCCGATTGTTCCTACCAACCTCCAAAGCTAAAAGCCACCACAAAGACTAATATCATCTCTTAAAATGGCCACCAACCCCCCGCGTTATACTTTCGTTTCGCCATCTGAGGGCTACGAAAATGCTCCTCCTCTACCCAGCGATCTCAACGAAGATGGCAAAAGCTTCAGGAATCCCCCACGTAAAGAGCTGAGCGAGGCGTACGAGTCGTTCCCGGCTCCGCTTTCGAATGGGCGTCGAGGAGGCTTGTAAGCGGCATTGAGCTTCGACCTTCCTTACCCGCAGGACTAACATCAACACAGTGACATCCACATCTACCATTTCCAGAACAACCCGGACCAGGTCAAGCATGCCAAGGACTTGTGGGAGCGCATTCGACGAGAGTGTAAGTCGGATCAAGGACCGAATAGCAATAGCTCTCACTGACGACGCGATGATTACTACCTTAGTCCCTGAGCTGAGAATTTATCGATTCTGGGAGAAGCCCGTGGGCCCGCACCCTGTCGCCATGTTCGAGGTCAATCTCTTCACGCCTGCGCAGTTTGGTGCCTTTATTCCGTGGCTAGCCATCTACAGAGGGCCCTTGTCAGTACTCGTCCATCCCAACACAGACGAAGAGGGCAACCACAATGCCATTGAGCTGCGCAACCACACACAACGCGCCATCTGGATGGGCGAGAGAATACCTCTGGACACGACTCTCTTCTATCGCGACTGATCCTGCACCGGACGCGGATAGCAGCCGTTCATTTGAATTCATACGTATCCGCAAGATGTGTATCGTTTCAAGATCAGGAACCCGTGTTGACACTACGTCGGAAGCAGTTTGGCGCCGATGGGCGGAGAGGGAGGGCCGGTGCGCGCGGGGGAGACATAATGGTTGCCCTGGGCCTGAAATACGTGCCCACCAGCATGGATGTGAGTCACGTGTATTGCTGTGTGCCACGCGCGCTATACTGGCCCGTGCGCTCATGACGTCGTGCGCCCAGTGTCAGCCTACCTTAGAAGGAGAGACCGCGACGAGTCAAAAAGTCACGCTTTGCCTGTCCATCACCAACGGCTTTCAGTGAACATCGCCGCCAGTCATGCAGTGTTCCGAAGACCTATTGACACTTTCATAGCATATACAAATCCTTCTGCAATTGCGGCCGTCCAGTGAAGTCTTTCCTTTCCCGGCCGATTGCCACGATGGCTGGCCGCAAAAGAACCAGGGCATCTCGGTCGCAGCCCGCCACCCCCGGCCTGCCAGATGTCTACCAAGAGATGCTGCTTGAGGCAGGCGCTGCTACTGGTCCTTCCACTTCAGCTTCCTCCGAGCCGCCATTGAAGAAGCTCAAGCGACCTGGACAGAAGACTGTCCGAGTCGATCCGCCCAAGGCCCCAGAGCCGGACGAAGACGATGATGAAGATATTGAATTTGAAGACGTAGCTCTCCCCCCGCCAACTTTCCAGACCATGGAAAGAGATTTAGACGAGGAAGAATCCGAAGATGACATCGAATTCGAGGATGTCGATTTCGGCGCCGTACACCCGGATGTGGAGGTCACAGAGGAACCGAAGAAGCTTACACTCAATCTATCAGCCCATGCGCCGATGACACCTGCAACCAAGAAGGGCGCCGATAGAAGAAAGCCAATCTCGAAGGAGGAGAGGGAACGCCGCATAACAGTACACCGGACACATCTGCTCTGCCTCATGCTGCACTGCGCTTTGAGAAACCGATGGTGCGACGATGGAGAAGTACAGAAATCAATGCGTTCTCTTTTGACCAAGAAGATCGTCAATTATCTGAATCCTTCATCAGATCTGCCACAATTTGGTCAAACACAATCTCTCAAAGCTGGTCTTGAACAAGCTGGGTCCATTTTCAAGGCCAAGTTTCATATCACAGAAAAGGGATTGCGCCGGGCTCTTTGGGCTGAGGACCCCGAGCACATCTCCAAGGTACGTATGCCGCTTCCACATGGTATCAAGACATATCATGGCTGACTCACCTTGTAAGTACGAACCACCGAGCAACATGGACTCATGCTTGGAAAGATCCGATTTCAGGGAGGCTGCCAGAAAGCTACAGGGTTCTCGAGATGTCGGTGCTCAGCTATACTGTGCCCTGCTGCGATCTGCTGGGATCCGCGCCCGCTTGGTTTGCTCTCTGCAGCCACTTTCTTTCGCCTCAGGTGGTCCCACGCTCCCCAAACCCCGTAGCCTGAAGACACCATCAAAACCTACAAGAGCAGAACAGATTCAGGCACAGGTAGCCAAGTATTCAATGACTGGAGAAGGGTCATTGCCATCAGATATGAGCAAGGCTTCGCCTCTTCGACGGCTTGGCCACCCAAACGCCGCGGCTTACCACTTACCGTCGATACCAGCATCACCCCCGAAAGCTCGACAGCTGAAAGAGACTCAGACTAATATCCGCGAGTCGCCATTTCCGGTTTACTGGGTAGAAGTTCTTGATATTGCTCATCAGAAATGGCAGCCTGTGGATCCGCTGGTTACAAATTCGATGTGGAAACCTCGTGCCATTGAGCCACCGGCCTCCGACCGAGAAAATTGCCTGACCTATGTGGTTGCCTTTGAATCTGACGGTACTGCGCGAGATGTGACCAGGAGGTACGCCAAGGCATATGCGGCAAAGACAAGAAGATTGCGTGTCGAAACTGCCGTTGAGCGAGGCGACCGGTGGTGGCGCAAGGCTCTTGAACCGTTCACTCGACGTTCAAAAACCGATCTTGACCAGATTGAAGACAACGAATTGATGGCTGTCGAAGGCCGTGAACCTATGCCAAGAAACGTGGCAGACTTCAAGGACCACCCCGTATTTGCGCTGGAAAGGCATTTGCGGCGCAATGAAGTTCTTGTACCAGAAGCGCAGCCCGCCGGGACGGTCTCGGCGGGAAGCAAAGCGCCGTTGGAGAAGGTCTACCGGCGTAGGGACGTGCGGGTTGCGCGTAGTAGGGACAAATGGTACCGCAGCTATGGACGCGAAGTGAAGCCAATGGAAGTTCCGGTCAAGTTTCTTCCTCGAAGATCCAACGCCAGGCCAGGCGAGTTTGTTGATGATGGATACGGCGGCGATGAGAGGGACGCGGCAGGTATGCCGGTATTTACCGAAGAGCAGACAGAGCCTTACCATGCCCCGCCAGTCGTCAATGGTCGTGTGCCAAAGAACAAGTTTGGCAACATTGATTTATACGTGGCGAGCATGGTACCGCAAGGTGGTGTTCACGTCACGGACGAATTCGACGCTGCTGCGCGCGCCGCTTACATACTAGGGATTGACTACGCGCCAGCGTTGACAGGGTTTAATTTCAAGGGGAAGCATGGTACAGCTGTGCTGAATGGCGTGGTAGTAGCACGAGAGCATGAAGAAGCTGTTCGGGCTGTGATGGAAGGTCTGGGAGACATGGAAGCACAAGTAGAGCGGAGCAAGAGGTCTTTGGCTGCGGTTCGAATGTGGAAGAGGTTTCTTACAGCACTCCGGATCCGGGAGCGCGTATGGGCCGGAGTGGACCCGGAGGAGAGAGCCGAAGAGGAGAGGGAAATGGTTGGGGAAATAGCGGAAATATTCGAGGATGAGGAAAGTATGACGACAGGCGGCTCCATGGTTGAGGGTGATAATCAAGGTAGGGGATGTCTAGCACAGGACGAAGCATTCGGGGGAGGCTTTATAACTGAAGAAGATGCGAGTCAAGGCAGGCCTGGAGGTTTCATGGTTGGTAACGAGAGCAAACATGGTGGTGGGGGTTTCGTGGCTGAAGAAGTGGAAGTGAAAGTGGAAGAGGAAGAGGGCGGTGGCGGAGGCTTTGTTGCTGGGGATGAGGATGGCGACAGCGACCGCGGTGTAGGCTTCGCCGCTCAGGACGTGGAAGAAAGCAGAGGCTTTGCAGCTAATGAGGAGGGAAAGACCGACGAAAGGGATTTCGACATGGGGTTAGACGACCTTTCGGTTCTCGGAGCGGAAAAAGACGACGACGGTGAACTTGAAGATGCACCGAGCGACGTTACAGAGGAGTATGACATGGAGGAGGAGGACGGTGGAGGAGGATTCCTAGTGGAGTAGATGACGATCACCTACACTATCACAGGGCGAGTCAAAGGAGCCGATGGCAGAGAAGATAATGAATCTAGATACCGCAGGGCAGCAGCAATTTTGAACAACGACGAGGCAGAACTTGGCACCTTGGAGAGGCCGTGATAGACTGGGCCTCTGGGAAGACAGTGCGATGTGATTGGTGGGTTGGTATAATTGATGGATTCAAGACATTCTTGACCGTCCTGGACCGACGTCAACGATATTTGGTGCGGCTTGGCCCGAAGCCACACCGAGCTTCGACCAAGTCCGATCCCGCCCAACGTCGAGGGCCAAGACACATGAAGGATTGAAGTAGCCAACGATCAACGCCCGAGACACAAACGGCTGTCTGATTATTGGAGGAGGCTGTGCTGGATCCCGTTTCGTTGGCGAGATTCTGCCCAACGACAGCGCAAGTGGGGAGCCGTAAGACGGCATGTTACACTTGCTGCCTCGAGTCGCGGCGATGATGTTGCTGCTGAGTACCTATGATGATGTTTGGCGGAAGGATGGGATTTGTTCATCTCGTTGCTAGGTACGGTATGTATCCGTGGCCCAGACATCTGTGCCAGGGTGCGAGCATGAACGGGTCGAATGCCGGTGCCGCCGCCCGGGATTCGGGCCAATTCGTTTATTGCCTACCTAGGTAAGGTAGGTAGTGGATACCATACCTGTAAATTACGAAGACCAAACGCCCGGCGGAAGAGGCGAGCCCCAGTTTGACTCCCACCTTCGCACGTCGCGCGTCGGCTGCCTTTTCAGTTCAGTTCAGTTCGGTTCGGTTCAGTGTGCTTTGCCTACCTCAGCCACGCACGCACGGCACGGCGCCAGGAGAAATCATTCTTCTCCGGTCCCTCATCTCGCGACGGCAGTCTGACCTAATTAATCCTGAGGTGTCTCCAGGTCGAGAGTTCATCCAGAGTGATCCATCTCACCCCAAGACACTGTGCCTGCGCTGTGTCTCCAAGGGCCATCCTCGTCCCAATGTTCGTCTCGTCTTTTTCGTCCTAATACGTACATCCATTTCGTCTTCATTCTTTTCCCCCCTTGTCGTGGTTCATACGCCGCCTCGAGAGGTCCTTGGAGTAAGTAACAAGAGTTGGCCTTGTAAAAATTCCACTCTCTCTTGCACATTTATCAGCCAGCCTTCATCGCGAGCCTCTGCTCATCCCCAAACGTCCGCGAAATCGCATGCCCACGTCGGCACCGTCAACAACAAAATACGTGAATCGATACCAAGAACGGGAAACGACGACGTGGCTGCCCGAGGCGACTCTCGCCCATCATGGCGCTTCTACGCCAGACTTGGACTCTGACTGTCAAAAACTGGAGGATAATCAGCCGCCACTCCATCGCGGCCATTTTCATTGCATTCATCCTCCCTATCGCCTTGACGACCTTCTTCAGCTTCGCAAAGAATCTTTTCGTCCCCCCAGCCGTCTACGGCGTTTCCGACCCAAGGCAGATTCGTTCTCTACCGGATGCCCTCGATGCCGCAGCTAGCACCGGTAGACAGACCGTTGTCTTCGTGAACAACGGTCTCATCGGTGGGGACATCGACAAAGTCATCGACACACTCACTCAATCCATCGAGAGCGTCGGCAAGAAAGCCCTACGCCGTTCATCTACGGCTGACCTGGGTACAGACTGCCGCAGCAACCTTCGCGGCGTTTCCAGATGCTATGGCGCCGTTGTTTTCCAGTCTTCCCCCGCTGAGGGCACCGGCAATTACTGGAATTATACCTTGCGCAGCGATGGCGCACTGCGATCAATGGTCATCGACGTCGACTCGGACAGGAATGATGCCCAGATCTACCTCTTACCTCTGCAACGTGCAGTTGATGCTGCCATCGCCAAGGTCGCCAGTTCCAACTCCTCCTCGCAAGTCCAGCAAGGTCCTCTGCCCGATACGGTGGCCGAATATCCCTTTACGAGCATGACCCAGGAAGAACGTGCTGTTCAGATCCGTATCCGATACCAGAGCGCCATTACCAACTGGATGGGCGTTGCCTTCATGACCAGCGTCTTGTTTGTTACTTACCATCTCACCGGATTCATCGCGACCGAACGTGAGAGTGGCATGACCCGACTCCTCGATGCCATGATGCCTGTCAAGCAACGATGGCATGCCCAGGCAGCCCGCATCGTGTCCTATCATTTCGCATTTGTGCTCATCTACCTTCCTGGATGGATCATCGGTTCTCTGGTACTTCGAGCCGGTGTCTTTGCTCGCACGAGTGTGGCCACTGTGCTGGTCTATCATGTTCTCAACGGAATAGCCATGGCCTCTCTTTCCACCTTGGCCTCCTCCTTTTTCAAAAAGGCCCAAATCAGCGGCATCGCTGCTGTTCTCATCGTTATCATACTTGGAATTCTCGCCCAATCCATTTCCTACCCTAGCACCGCCACTGTTGGTATTCTCAGCTTCCTATTCACGCCTTGTAACTATGTGTACTTTATTACATACATGGCCCGTTACGAATCAGGCGACGCTCCGACGAATCTTACACAGGTTCCTCCGGGTAGCCCGTGGCAACTCACTGGAATTCTGTTATGGGTATTTCTGATCATCCAGATCTTTGGGTATCCCCTTCTTGGGGCAGTCATCGAGTCGAGACTGCACGGCACTACCACCCAGGGCAGAAACGTCGTGTTCGGCTCGGCCAATAACCCAGCAACCGAGGCGGCTGTCCGTATCGAGGGCTTCAGCAAGATTTACAAGCCCTCGGCACTGCGTCGCATGTTTTCCTTCATTTCGCGCCCTCGCGAACCTGTTGTCGCTGTCAACAACTTGACTCTGAACATCCGTCGAGGCCAAATCCTCGCCCTTTTGGGCGCCAATGGCAGCGGCAAATCTACAACCTTGGACTCCATTGCCGGCACCAACAAACTGACGAGCGGTGCTATCACCATTGATGGCACCGGCGGGCTGGGCATTGCGCCTCAGAAGAATGTCATGTGGGACGATCTCACTGTTGAGCAACACATCCACATCTTTAACAGGCTCAAATCGCCGAAAGATCTTGCGTCGAAACAGGAAGTTCGCGACCTCATCAAATCGATTGACCTCGAGCTGAAGCGGAAAGCCACGTCCAAGACTCTGTCCGGGGGACAAAAGCGGAAGCTCCAGCTGGGCATGATGCTTACGGGAGGAAGTGCTGTCTGTTGTGTTGACGAAGTCAGCAGCGGCATCGACCCTCTCAGTCGGCGAAAACTCTGGGACATTCTCTTGGCCGAGCGAGGGCGCCGCACAATTGTCCTTACAACTCACTTCTTAGACGAAGCCGATCTGCTGGCTGACCACATCGCCATCTTGTCGAAAGGTACACTACGTGCTGATGGATCTTCCGTCGAACTGAAAGACCGCCTTGGCGGTGGATATCGCGTTCATGTTCATAAGGACACTGGCATTAAGAATGGCCCTGATGTACATGGTGTTCAAAAGAAGATCTCGTTCGATCTTGTCAGTTATATCGCGCCATCCTCAACCCTGGCTGCTCAGGTTATCCGCACCTTAGAGGACAACGACATCCATGAATACCGATTCTCTGGGCCTACAATTGAGGATGTATTCCTGCAATTGGCAGAGGAGGTCCGAGGAGAAGCAGGAGACTTCCCGTCCGCGTCTGACACGACGTCGGATTACAACGAGAAGAAAGGAGCATCAGACGAGGCTCATACTACTGGCGCCGCATCCCCGGGAGGGTTAAAACTTGTTGACGGCAAGCGCATTGGTTATATGAAGCAAGCAGCTGTTCTCTTCCGGAAGCGCATCACTATCCTCAAGACCAACTGGATTCCTCACTTCGCCGCCTTCGTTCTCCCCATAGCAGCCGCCGGCCTCGTCACGTTATTCATCAAAGGCCAAAACAAGCCGGGATGCGCACCCTCTGAAGAGCGTTCGCTCGACCAAACTCAGGGTTTCAGTCTCACAGACTTCACATGGAAACTGGTTCTTGGACCTTCTTCGAAGTTCGACTTGAACACCGCCGCAAGCGTTCTTCTGCCGGTTTTCAACGCAGCCTCTGGCAGCGGTGGCTTAGGATCCAGTACGGGCACTGGACTAGGTTTTGCAAGGCAACTGCTTGAAGAGAATGCCACCTTCACTGAAACATTCGACTCTTTCAAAAGCACCATTGTTGAGCGACGGGTTGAAACACTGCCAGGTGGTCTTTGGTTTGGGGATGGCGGCGTGGAACCTACTATCTCCTATATGGCTAACTACAACGGTCTTATCAATCCGTTGCTGACCCAGAATCTCATGAATATGCTCCTCAGCAATGTCACACTCATGATGGCTTGGGCACCCTTCGCCACTCCTTGGGACCCTGACACCGGCAACTCCCTGCAGTTTCTCGTTTACACCGGCATAGCTCTCTCGGCTTACCCCGGGTTCTTCGCCCTGTACCCGAGTCTGGAACGCCGGCGGATGGTTCGAGGCCTGCAATACTCCAACGGTGTTCGACCATTGCCTCTATGGCTTGCTTATCTCGCGTTCGACTTCATCGTTGTACTCGCCTCCACGGCACTGGTCACTATTCTCTGGGCGACCCTTTCAAACATCTGGTATCATGTCGGCTATATCTTCCTCGTATTCATGCTTTACGGGCTGACCGCTATCCTTTTGGCCTATGTCATCTCTCTTTTCTGTAAGACGCAGCTTTCTACATACGCCTGGGTTGCAGCAGGGCAAGCGGTCATGTTCCTTGTCTATCTGGTTGCGTACCTCTGTACGGTAACGTTTGCGCCGGTGACTCGGGTTGACGATTATCTGCTTGTCGTCCACTTTGTCATCTCCGCCGTCGCGCCCATTGGCTCGGTCGTTCGAGCTATGTTCTTGACTCTGAACCTGTTCTCAACAGCCTGTGATGGTCGCCAGCTTGCGCCCAATCCAGGCGGAATGCTTCAATATGGTGGCCTCATATTGTACCTAGTCATCCAGTCCATTCTTCTCTTTGGCATCTTGGTATGGGCTGACAGTGGTTCTG